CTTGTTAACATGTAGTTTGGCATATTCCAGTCTGACTTTTTTATGATTTGTTTTCAACAATGGTGTCCTCCTTGGTCATCACCCATGTAGTTCACTTTGGCTCAAACAACGACGGCTGGTGCGATCTGACACTGATGTTCCTTGAGCTTGAAGTTCACCTTGGATCTCTTTAGAAGTTTTTTCTGGGCTCTTTTGTTACCATTTGAATTATCTGTCTCGGTGATTTGTCATTAATTTCCCTCCTGCAGCCATGTCCAGAGAGGTTGGCTACAGTCCCATGGATCTGAAATTTCTGAATAATATGTGGAACTGTAGACACAGCAGTGGCGGGCGGTGCGTTCCACCCCTGGGCCTTCAGTGATTTCCTATTCATTCCAATCTAATTTAATACACCTTAAAATACCATCAATAGGACATCACAGCTGAAGAAACCATTCTCACACACACACACACACACACACACACACACACACACACACACACACACACACACACACACACACACACACACACACACACACCAGTGGCTGGTCAAGACAAGTAATTTCCGGAGCCTTTAAAATCAAACTCGCATTCCCAATTGAGAGTAGGAAACTAAGACCACAGATACTGTCAAATCTCAAAAATGAAAGACGGGTTTAAGAGATGAGTCAATAAAATAAATAAGTAAAGCAAACACATTATTTACAACTGTTTTGGAGAAAATGGCACAGCAAAACAATGTTGGCGCAGCAGCTTACACCACGTCATACACAATATAAATTGCATAGAAACAGAACACAGAATAATTTCAGTTAGATATTTTATTTCGTTACCATTTATTGATTATTAACAAAATAAAATGGCAAAACATAAAAAAATACTAATAAAATGTTTCTACTCACCAACATAAATGTCCAGCATGGATCTCCTCCTCTCCTGCTCATTTGAAAATAAAATCCATCCTTCTTTCTTTCCTCAGGAAACCCTCAATGGCTCTGTACAGTTTATCTGTGCGCTTCAGGTCCATGAGTGGATCCTTTTCTATGGACATGGAGGCTAATGCTGATAGTCGTGTCTGTCCGGTCGTGTTTCTGGCGTACGTTTTAACGCGCTTTAATGCTACCAAATCCATCTGATGCGAGCAACAGGCATTCCCAGCAGAATAACCTGCAGCGGTTCTCTGAAGCTGTTAGCCGTGGGTACCGTTCATAGTTGCTTGCCTGAAAATGACGAACAAATCCTTTCCCCTGCTGGGACAAGCCAGCTAGCATTGGAGTCGGACGACCTGTTCTCACAAGATCCATTTTTTCTTGAAAGGTCCGTCTTCAAAATGGTGTGGCAAGTAAATCTGCAACCAAGTCCTTCTCTTCTCCTCTTTCAGCCATCATGTGTTCAAAAATACACCGATAACTGCCTATAGATACAAATGTCCGTGTTTAGTTTTGATATTTTGCTTAATGCTGCTAGAAAAGTTCTAACTACTGCTTATCCAATCACAGGATGTGTTCATGTCAACTTTTACGTGAGGCCAGCTAGCTGGCCCGGGCCAAGCTGACTCGTGAGCTGATTGGCTATCGCAACTAGATTGTCTCTGTTCACTTACAGCGGACAGTGGGCTTCTCGATTCATTCTGAAGGCCTAGAGCAGACTTAATCTGCCTGAAAACACAAGCTAGCTTAAATCTGATTGGATAACACCCAGCCTTGGTACTTTAACACTGGAAGCAGTGCGGCCAAGTGGGTATAATAGGATATAAAGAAAATAGACCAGTAAACATTTTTTTTTATTTAAAAATATTTACCAAAGGAAAAAAATACATTTATGCTTTTGAGTATGTTTAGGCCAGCAGAGAAGGCTTTGCTGGCCCTGACTGCCCTCCACTGAGACACAGGAACATCTAGCTGCTTAGAGATGGTCTTATACCTTATACCTTTAACATGCTTATCTATAATTTTCTTTCTAATCTCCTGAGACAACTCTTTCCTTCGCTCCCTCTGGTCTATGTTGAGTGTGGTACACACCACGCCACCAAACAACACAGTGACTTCCTGGAGTCCTATATATAGTCCCACTGACTTATTACAAGATTGCAGACACCTGTGATGCTAATCAGTGTACATACCTTAAATTAACATGTCCCTTTGGTCTTTTCTAGGTGTACCATTATTTATGTCCAGGCCTGTTCCATGAGTTTATTATTTTAGTGGTTGAAATGGTTGAAAAGCAATGTCTGACTTTCATCGGTAAAATGTCATAGAATTATTATTTTTTATCATTTTAGTCAGATTGAAGTTATTCACGTGAGCATTGTTATTTATTTATTTTTTATTATATTTTACCCAAAATTTTGTTCACATTTGTTAATTATCTGCAGGAACAACCATGTGACGCATAATTTGCAATTGTGTGAAGGTAAATAAATCATCTTGAACCACTGTGACAATATTAGGATTGTGATTAAGCAGAAATTAACCTTTTAACTAGACCCAGTTACAGGTTCTTATTCCATAAGTACTGATCTGTATTTGCTCCTAAGACCAATAGAAGTGTTTCAAATATTTTCTTATAATAAAACATAACTCAGGTGGGCAGAAGTTAATTTAGTTTGCGTTAAAATGCACTAAAATGAGGATATTTGCAGAGTGAGGTCAACAAAAAACATAGAGAAAAACAATTAGCCCACCAAGTGATTTTTATAAAATTGGATTTATTCAGATAGGTGTTGGTGCTATTACTGGATCACTATCAGTAAGCATGGGAGAGACTGGGAAGGAGGGAATGGGTGAAGAAATAATGAGGAGGTTAAGTAGAAACGAGAGGGATGGGGAAGAAAAGGAGCATGGATGGCAATGGGGCGCACATTTTTGAGGAGGGTGTCTCAACGCCATTTGTCAGCTGTCATCATTCTCCTGCACCACCTGAGATGGGGCATGCCACACCCTGGTGCTCGTGCCTCTGTTGCCAGTGGCAACCGCAGACATTTTTTTTTTTTGGGTAAGTGTGCAAGAATGAAAGTGAGTCTTTGTGCTGCGTTGGGCTCTGGAGGTAATGAGGTGCACACACATGCACGTAAGCCCTGGTTATAAAGCTGTAGAGTTGTGGTTGCCTCAGCATTTAATTGATTAATTGTCGTAATTATTTGGAAGGGAAGGTCATCGCAACACTGGGGCTATCTAGAAGGTCGCTCTGACGCTGGAGGGACTGCCTTCCTCTGGGGACTGCACTGGCCATATGGGTATGTTTGTGTGGGGAGGAGGTTCCAGATGAAATTTAGAAGTCATTTTAACATACATGAGGAAGATATTCGTCTTCTCATCTGATTACAATCAAAGTGTCTGTTTCTGTCTGGTTTTAACCAAAACCTAAAAATCTCAACTTTTTTTCTCTCACATCTTTGTATTCTGTAGCCCACTTCTTTCTGCCAAACAACCTGACAAAGAGCTGGCAGCCAAACGTTGTGAGGAAAGGTCCGTGTGTGTGTGTGTGTGTGTGTGTGTGTGTGTGTGTGTGTGTGTGTGTGTGTGTGTGTGTGTGTGTGTGTGTGTGTGTGTGTGTGTGTGTGTGTGTGTGTGTGTGTGCGTGCGTGCACGTGTGTGTGTGTGTGTGTGTGTGGTTTGGGGACTTTCCAGTCCATGGACAGATGGAGAGACTGGTAGACTTGCTTGCCGGCATGAGCTTTGCACAGCCTGTTGTGTGTGTGTGTGTGTGTGTGTGTGTGTGTGTGTGTGTGTGTGTGTGTGTGCGTGCGTGCGTGCGTGCGTGTGAGTGTGTGTGTGTGTGTGTGTGTGTGTGTGTGTGTGCAAAAACGAGTGTGTCCTTGGTGTTTGGGTTCATGTGGATGTGAATATAAATGTGCTCATCTCTGTTGTATACACCTGTATCCGGTGTGTTTCCCACAAGAGGTCGTGTGTTTTTGATTTTTCTGTGTGTGGAAAGAGAGCGGTAACACCTTCCCTCGGTGTGTTTGTCACTTCACTCCAGCTTTGACCTTGGCAAGGAGTGCAGACAGGTCACCCAACCAACTGTTTTTGTGGTGGTGCGTCTGCCCTGTGGAGGATTTTTTAACGTTCAGGGTCACAACATGGAGCTTTAAGATAACTGAAGTCCACTGAGAGTTACTGGTTCAAAGTACAATTTAGCTGACCTCATTTAGATATGGAAAATGAGCCTTACTGAGCAGGTGATGAAATTATTATCTACTGTAAAAGAACTTTTGAAGACTAATCAACAATATTAGCTGATTTAGCTTTTACCACCACAAAGAACCCTAATGAAGACCATAACTACGGCTTGGTTCAAGTGCTTCTTAAAAAGTGTAGTTAATCTTTCATGCGTAGATGTTGTTATACAAATTGTTCTCTAAAATTTTTATTCTTGCATGCCTGATTCAGAATTTTGGCATTTTGACTAATGGTGCTGACAAATCAGAGCAAACTGAACTCATCTGAATAGGAAGCTTCCATAGTTAGGGTTAGGGTTAGGGTTTACTTAAAGACATGAAGTAAAGCAGCAGCTCTATAGCTATTTCACAGGAAATTGAGGGTAAAATCAAATTAGTGCAATGAAGATTGTGGCTGTTCGAAATGGAAAGAAGTCAATTTAAAAAAAATGCATTTCTAGGCTGATTTAAAGAAGTAGCACGAATCAAAATGTAAAGTAAAGTAGAAATAAATACTGTATAAATATTATAAATGTGTAAATAAATGTTACTCAATTATTTGAAAATAATGGAAAATTAACGTTAATGAACCAGTTTAGTTTGAGACTAGTTTGTTGGTATTTGAAACATGAAACATTGAACTTTTGTGCAGCTCATTTTGACCGTTAAATGAACTGAGCCATCCCACCTTAAACAAATAAACAACACTTTGTGTCATCTTATCCAGTTTGATAGAAATAAATAGTATAAAGTTCCAACAATAAGCTGAATGCCAGTTAGAATTTCAAAACAAGCTTGTTCTAACATAAAATGAGCCTCTTTGGTTACAGCTTAGGTTACATCTAATCCAGTCCCTCACCTGCTTTAACGTGGATGCTGGGGCTTCGAATCTTGCCTGCTTGATTCTCAGCAGTGCAGAAGTACTCGTTGTCGTGGATGATGCTGTTATAGGCAGACGGGGAGAAAGGGTAGAGCTGAAGGGTACCGTTGGCATGCACGTGGCGGATATGGGGCACATCGTAAATGTCGTCTCCGGCAGCCAGGTACCAGCGCAGGGCGGCATGGGGGGCGCCGCCCGCAGGGCAGGGCAGGGACACCCCCACCGAGCTGGAGAAGGTCACTCGCTGCAGGGAGGCGTTCACAAAGTACAGCCGAGTAGAGACAACATCCTCACTGTTGACTGTTGGGATGACAGAGATGAAGACAGCGTTAGAGACAACATTTTCACACTGCCATGATTATCCCTTAAACACCAAATAAAAACTCACTGCTGGACTCTAATAAAATAAATTCTAGACAAATAGACGAACATTTTAGTGCCTTTTCATTTTCCAATAAGCAGATTAGTGCTGCCCTTCAGCCCTTCAAGCCCTTGACTACTTTTTCTGAGGTTTCCACTTGAATCACATCTTCAGCATTGAATCAATACAGCTTCACTACTGTAATGGCAAACTGAACAATCTCGAGCTTTATTGGTGTGAGACACTTTGGTGAATTCTGAAATGTAGCCTGGTGAGATGCCTTTTTCCTGCTATCAAAGAGAGTGGGATTTGGAAATAACTCAATAAAAAAACAACAATAACATGGAGTAGCTGAAACCTGGGTCGGATCTGGCCCACAGCAGGGCACAGCAACCTCCAGAAGCTGATGGCAGTGTTTCTTTATGTCTTATAGATAAAGATGGTGATGATTTTTACTTATTCTAAATTAAATAAACAGCTTATTTGTCAAATTTGGTTGCATTTCTGATATAAATATATAAGCTTGTTTTAGACAATGTTTAAAAGACATTTTTAGAAGAAATATTTAAAGTTCGGTTTTATTTAATCAATAAAGTTTGATAAAAAGCTTCAGTACTAACTAGGAATGGCAATGCAAATAAGTTCCTTTTCCATATAAATATACACATATAATAGCACTTCTGCAGAATTCAACCTGCTAAAATGCATCTAAACAGTGGCAAAAGTATCCAACAATGATTTCTGAACTGTCACCTTATCGTGGTGGAAGAGTTTGAGTGCCCTAATGATCCTAGGAGCTATGTTGTCTGGGGCACTTTGTGCCCCTGGTAGGGTCTCCCATGACAAATTGGTCTTAGGTGAAGGGTGAGACAAAGAACGGTTCACAGGATCTTTCACGGAGGTAAAGTCAAAGAGTCGGAGTACCCGGCCCGGAGGGTTACCGGGGTCCCACCCTAGAGCCAGGCCTGGGGTTGGGGCCCGTGAGCAAGCACCTGTTGGCCGGGCTTTTGCCCATGGTGCCCGGCCGGGCCCAGCCCGAACCAGATACATGGGCTCATCCAACTGTGGACCCACCACCCGCAGGAGGAACATGAAGGGTCCGGTGCAATGTGGATCGGGTGGCAGACCAAGGCGGGAGCCTTGGCGGTCCGATCCCCAGACAAGAAAACTGGTTTTTGGGACATGGAATGTCACCTCGCTGGCAGGGAAGGAGCAGGAGCTTGTGGCAGAGGTTGAGCGGTACCGGCTAGATATAATCAGACTCACCTCGACACATAGCATTGGCTCTGGAACCCAAGTCCTTGAGAGGGGTTGGACACTCTCCTTTGCTGGAGTTGCTCCGGGTGAGAGGTGGAGGGCTGGGGTTGGCTTTTTGTTAGCCCCAAGACTCTCTGCCTGTGTGTTGGGGTTTACCTCGGGGGACGAGAGGGTAGCTTCCCTGCGCCTTCAGGTCGGGAAACGGGTCCTGACTGTTGTTTGTGCTTATGGGCCAAATATCAGTTCAGAGTACCCAACCTTTTTGGAGTCCCTGGGACGAGTCCTAGATAGTGCTCCATCAGGGGACTCCATTGTCCTGCTGGGGGACTTCAATGCTCACATGGGCAATGACAGCTTGACCTGGAGAGGTGTGACTGGGACGAACGGCCCGCCTGATCTGAACTCGAGTGGTGTTTCGTTTTTGGACTTCTGTGCAAGCCACAGTTTGGCCATAACGAACACCATGTTCAAACATAAGGATGCTAATCAGTACACTTGGTACCAGGGCAGCCTAGGTTGCAGGTCAATGATAGACTTTGTAGTCGTATCATCTGACCTGCGGCCGTATGTTTTGGACACTCAAGTGAAGAGGGGAGCGGAGCTATCAACTGATCACCACCTGGTTGTGAGTTGGATCAGATGGCAGGGGAAGATGCCGCATAGACCTAGCAGACCCAAACGCATAGTGAGGGTGTATCTCTCTTTTCTTGTCTCTAACTCGATACAAGGTGTTTGAATAAAATTCCCTGTGGTAAAAACAACCTCTTCTGATTCTAAGTGCCCGGTCCAAAGATTAATCTCTGGACCTTAATAAAGTGTAAGAATATACCAACTATATTCAGCTACAAGGGTCTGCTGGGAACGCCTGGCAGAAGGACCTGTCAAGACGGTCTTCAACTCCCACCTCCAGCAGAGCTTTGACCACGTCCCGAGAGTGGGGGACATTGACTCCGAGTGGGCCTTGTTCCACTCTGTGATTGTTAAGGCGACTGTTGCTAGCTGTGGTCGAAAGATGGCCGGTGCCAGTCGTGGTGGCAACCCCCGTACTCGCTGGTGGACACCAGAGGTTCGGGGAGCCATCAGGCTGAAGAAGGAGGCCTACAGGGCAAGGCTGGTCTGTGGGTCTCCAGAGGCAGCAGACAGGTACCGGATAGACAAGCGGGGTGCAGCAGTGGCAGTTGCCGAGGAAAAATCTCGGGCGTGGGAGGAGTTTGGTGAGGCCATGGAGAAAGACTATCGATCGGCTCCAAAGAGGTTCTGGCAAACTGTCCAGCGCCTCGGGAGGGGAAGGCAGCAACTCGCTCACACTGTTTACAGTGGGGATGGGGAGCTGCTGACGTAAACTGGGGCTATAGTCAGACGGTGGAAGGAATACTTTGAGGAGCTCCTCAATCTCACCTATGCGCATTCCGAGGAGGAACCAGAGCCGGGAAACCTGGGGATGGACTGTCCAATCTTGGGGGCAGAAGTTGCTGAGGTAGTCAAACAACTACACAGCGGCGGAGCACCGGGGGCGGATGAGGTTCGTCCTGGGTATCTCAAGACTATGGATGTTGTAGGGCTGTCATGGTTGACATGTCTCTGCAACATTGCGTGGTCATTGGGGGCAGTTCCTGTGGAATGGCAGACCGGGGTGGTGGTCCCCATCTTTAAGAAGGGTGACCTGAGGGTGTGTTCCAACTATAGGGGGATCACCCTCCTCAGCCTCCCTGGAAAGGTCTACTCCAAGGTACTGGAGAGGAGAGTCCGATCGATAGTTGAATCTCAGATTGAGGAGGAGCAATGTGGTTTTCGTCCTGGCCGTGGAACTGTGGACCAGCTCTATACCCTTGCAAGGGTGATGGAGGGGGCATGGGAGTTTGCCCAACCAATCCACATGTGTTTTGTGGATTTGGAGAAGGCTTATGACCGTGTCCCCAGGGGCACCCTGCGGGGGACGCTCCAGGAGTATGGGGTGGGTGGCTTTCTGTTAAGGGGCCATTCAGTCGCTTTACCAGAGGAGCGTGAGTTTGGTCCGTATAGCCGGTAGTAAGTCGGACCTGTTCCCGGTGAGGGTTGGACTCCACCAGGGCTGCCCTTTGTCACCGGTTCTGTTCATTACCTTTATGGACAGAATTTCCAGGCGCAGCCGTGGTGTGGAGTGTGTCGAGTTTGGTGGCAGGAGAATCTCGTCTCTGCTTTTTGCGGATGATGTGGTCCTCCTAGCTTCATCCAGCTCTGACCTTCAACTCTTGCTGGGTAGGTTCACGGCCGAGTGTGAAGCGGCTGGGATGAGGATCAGCACCTCCAAATCTGTGACCATTGCTCTCGACCGGAAAAGGGTGGCTTGCCAACTCCGGGTCGGGTGAGAGGTCCTACCTCAAGTGGAGGAGTTTAAGTATCTCGGGGTCTTGTTCACGAGTGAGGGTAGGAGGGATCGGGAGATCCACAGGTGGATTGGTTCAGCATCTGCAGTGATGTGGACGCTGAGCTGATCTGTCGTGGTGAAGAGGGAGCTGAGCCAGAAAGCCAGGCTCTCGATTTACCGGTTGATCTACATCCCAATGGTGAAGAGGGAGCTGAGCCAGAAAGCCAGGCTCTCGATTTACCGGTTGATCTACATCCCAATCCTCACCTATGGTCATGAGCTATGGGTAATGACCGAAAGAACGAGATTGCAGATACAAACGGCCGAAATGAGTTTCCTCGGTAGGGTGGCCAGGCTCAGCCTTAGAGATAGGGTGAGGAGCTCGGACATTCGGGAGGGACTCGGAGTAGAACCGCTGCTCCTCCGGATCTAAAGGAGCCAGTTGAAAGTGGTTTGGGCATCTGGTCAGGATGCCTCCTGGATGCCTCCCTGGGGAGGTGTTTTGGGCATGTCCTGCCGGCAGGAGGCCCCCGGGTCGACCCAGGACACGTTGGAGAGGTTACATCTCCAATCTGGTCCGAGAACGCCTTGGGGTCCTGCCGGAGGAGCTGGTGGAGAAGGCCGGGGAGAGGACGGTCTGGAGCTCCCTAGTTGGGATGCTTTCCCCGCGACCCGGACCCGGATAAGCAGAGGAAGACGATGACGACGACGACGATTTCTGATGATGCACTTTGTGGTGGAGAAACATCACTGTATGTCCTGAACATCTCACTCTGGATTCGCTCTAGAAAAAAAATCTGTTGCTAGACACCACACATGTTCACTATGAAGCAAAGCTGCTGTGGAACGGAAGAGTTGCCCTAAAAGAAAATGCACCAACAAATATATTCCTTTAGAGAGAGGATAAAAGCACCTCCCTAACCCAATCTTAAGAGGGAAATTGAGGCATCCTTTAAGATCTGTGCTCTCCTGTGTGTGTTTGCTGGGATTGGGGATGGTGGGGGTGGGGCTTAGGTGTAAAGAAGTGCTGAGCTCAGCTTGGCTGGGGGCCAGAAGAAGATGCTCTGCCCCGAGCCAGAGAAGCTTCGTCTCAGACATTGATGCTTAATTCATTCCTTTTCCAGATTTGTGTCAACAATGCCTGGATTAGCCTTATCTATGTAATGCTCTTCATGCTGGAAGAAGAAACCTTCTCATTCATTGATGGAAGTGAAAAGACACCATCGAAAGACAAAATGGCATCATGATTTTTTTTTCTAGAAACAATTTGCTGGCCAAGTGCAAATTTTTTAAGGGTCATTAAAAAATAAGTTATGATGATCCTGTTCTGAGATG